AGTTTGAGGTCAGATAGTTCATGGTGTTGAAAAAGGTTTTATCCAATACCATTTTACCAGGTCACCGCTGTATATGTGGATCAGTTTTATACAGATTCAAAAGAAAACCTTCACCGGTCCGTAAAAAAAAAGGTTTTACGTAAAAAAAAAAAAGTTGTTTCCCTTTCCACCAGTCATGTGCCATTGGTAGCACTGAGACTAGGGATTACTCAACATATCAACAGTACTATACAGTATGCCCCCTTGGCCTACTGTGCAAACATTTGAGAAGCATGAATGTGCTAACATTTGAGATGCATGAATGTGGTAACATTTGAGAAGCATGATTGTGCTAACATTTGAGATGCATGAATGTGCTAACATTTGAGAAGCATGAATGCGCTAACATTTGAGATGCATGAATGTGCTAACATTTGAGAAGCATGAATGCGCTAACATTTGAGATGCATGAATGTGCTAACATTTGAGAAGCATGAATGTGCTAACATTTGAGAAGCATGATTGTGCTAACATTTGAGATGCATGAATGTGCTAACATTTGAGAAGCATGAATGCGCTAACATTTGAGATGCATGAATGTGCTAACATTTGAGAAGCATGAATGTGCTAACATTTGAGAAGCATGATTGTGCTAACATTTGAGATGCATGAATGTGCTAACATTTGAGAAGCATGAATGCGCTAACATTTGAGATGCATGAATGTGCTAACATTTGAGAAGCATGAATGAGCTAACATTTGAGATGCATGAATGTGCTAACATTTGAGAAGCATGAATGAGCTAACATTTGAGATGCATGAATGTGCTAACATTTGAGATGCATGTCCTTGCAATGGTTCTTTGTGATTAGTAAGAAGAGAAAGCAAGCATGTTAAAAACATAGGAACAACACAGCAAGGATGGGACAATATGCAACAAAAAAAAACATCTCCAAAAAGCTGTTTTAAAAAAGTACATCACCTTTGAACACTACTGTACTCTATTACTTTTCAATGTTTGTCAAAACAAGAATAAAGAACAGCTGTAGTTGAATCATAGTCCCACTGCATTACATCATAGTCCCACTGCGTTACATCATAGTCCCACTGCATTACATCATAGTCCCACTGCGTTACATCATAGTCCCACTGCGTTACATCATAGTCCCACTGCATTACATCATCGTCCCACTGCATTACATCATAGTCCCACTGCGTTACATCATAGTCCCACTGCGTTACATCATAGTCCCACTGCATTACATCATAGTCCGACTGCGTTACATCATAGTCCCACTGCGTTACATCATAGTCCCACTGCGTTACATCATAGTCCCACTGCATTACATCATAGTCCCACTGCGTTACATCATAGTCCCACTGCGTTACATCATAGTCCCACTGCGTTACATCATAGTCCCACTGCGTTACATCATAGTCCCACTGCGTTACATCATAGTCCCACTGCATTACATCATAGTCCCACTGCGTTACATCATAGTCCCACTGCGTTACATCATAGTCCCACTGCGTTACATCATAGTCCCACTGCGTTACATCATAGTCCCACTGCGTTACATCATAGTCCCACTGCGTTACATCATAGTCCCACTGCGTTACATCATAGTCCCACTGCGTTACATCATAGTCCCACTGCGTTACATCATAGTCCCACCGCATTACTCTATCAATAGTAATTCACATAATTCTGTGATTCAGTATTTGATCATTGGTGAGGAGTGGAGACTATGTATAGGTTTCCAAATGGAGTAATAGAGAATATACTAAGGTGTGCACTTTGAAAACACCACAAGCTATCAAGCATACCACACACTGTCCACGAAGCATACCACACACTGTCCACGAAGCATACCACACACTGTCCACAAAGCATACCACACACTGTCCACAAAGCATACCGCACACTGTCCACGAAGCATACCACACACTGTCCACGAAGCATACCGCACACTGTCCACGAAGCATACCACACACTGTCCACGAAGCATACCACACACTGTCCACGAAGCATACCGCACACTGTCCACAAAGCATACCGCACACTGTCCACGAAGCATACCACACACTGTCCACGAAGCATACCGCACACTGTCCACGAAGCATACCGCACACTGTCCACAAAGCATACCGCACACTGTCCACGAAGCATACCACACACTGTCCACAAAGCATACCACACACTGTCCACAAAGCATACCGCACACTGTCCACAAAGCATACCGCACACTGTCCACGAAGCATACCACACACTGTCCACGAAGCATACCACACACTGTCCACGAAGCATACCACACACTGTCCACGAAGCATACCACACACTGTCCACAAAGCATACCGCACACTGTCCACGAAGCATACCGCACACTGTCCACAAAGCATACCGCACACTGTCCACGAAGCATACCGCACACTGTCCACGAAGCATACCACACACTGTCCACGAAGCATACCACACACTGTCCACAAAGCATACCGCACACTGTCCACGAAGCATACCACACACTGTCCACGAAGCATACCACACACTGTCCACGAAGCATACCACACACTGTCCACAAAGCATACCACACACTGTCCACAAAGCATACCGCACACTGTCCACAAAGCATACCGCACACTGTCCACGAAGCATACCGCACACTGTCCACGAAGCATACCACACACTGTCCACAAAGCATACCGCACACTGTCCACGAAGCATACCGCACACTGTCCACGAAGCATACCGCACACTGTCCACGAAGCATACCGCACACTGTCCACAAAGCATACCACACACTGTCCACAAAGCATACCGCACACTGTCCACAAAGCATACCGCACACTGTCCACGAAACATACCACACACTGTCCACAAAGCATACCACACACTGTCCACGAAGCATACCGCACACTGTCCACGAAGCAGTTCTTCACACTTATAGTGTTTCATCAGCTGTTGTACAATATGATACAAAACACAGGAAAAACTGAATTTGGACTGCACAGGCCTTTAATAAGAGTTGTGCATTGTGAAACAGCACAGCACAGTTGAAAATGATATGGCAAATAGAAACTGGATGGTGTTCAGAGATAGATGGGAGTGGTTGAGGGGAGCTGAAGGGTGGGACTAAAGATAACAAAAAACAAGAAAACGAATATAAAATATACTGTTCCCGTAAAATGTATCTAGTATGTATAAGCTGGTAGTACAATACAGTATTGTTGTCCATTAGTTTACTCCAATTAGGGGAGGGATGGTAGGGTTAGGGGAAAATAATAAAGAAAGAATATATGTTTATAATAATAATAATATGCCATTTAGCAGACGCTTTTATCCAAAGCGACTTACAGTCGTGTGTGCATACATTTTTGTGTATGGGTGGTCCCGGGGATCGAACCCACTACCTTGGCGTTACAAGCGCCGTGCTCTACCAGCTGAGCTACAGAGGACCACCTGTTTACCCAAATATATATGGGGGATTGAAAATGATGCAGATAATTACATTGATAGAAGCCACAATCTTTCTGCAATATTAAAGCTGATCTACCACCTAAAAGATCATTTTCAAATTAAAATATTAAAAAAGAAGTGCATGTATGAATTCTCCAAAATCCTCCAAGACATGCATGCAAACACCCATTATCTAAATATAGCATGTTTTTCTGATGGTGTCTTCCAGGATAGCAGCTGTTGCTTACAGCTAGGATAAAACGACCCACCCCAGCAGATGTAACCTTGTCTAGACACCTGGCCATTAAAGATGTATTTCTCACTTATCAGTTCAGCTGGTTGAAATGTGAAATATCTGGTGCCGTATCAATTCCTCATCATCCCAATGTCTTTAACACTAAACCCATGTCTTTCTAGAGCCATACTTCTGTACGACTTTCCATGGCACTTATTAAAGTTCAAAACAAGTGAGGAAAACTAAGGATAAAAATAAAGAACATTTAAAAAAGTGAAGAAAAGAGAAGAAAAGAGAAGAAAAGAGAAGAAAAGAAAAGAGAAAAAAATAGAAAAAATAGAAGAAAATAGAAAAAAAGAGAAGAAAAGAGACCAGGTTCTTCCTCGTTTATATCTTTGTTTTGATGAGGTGATCCATCACTGGGATATAGGTAGCATGAAATCAAATAATGAATTACTACTGGTAGAATTGTTCAATTATAGTGAAGTACCGTACAATGCACTGTTTTTATTAGAATACTATTTTGAAAGTCTCAAACTCATTGCATCTCCGTTGTAATAGTTGCATGCGTACCCTCGGGTGGTTAGTTTCAACAACACATGGAATATAGCACAAAACACTGTGGTAACTGTGCCAGTTGAATTTCAAGCACTTAGGTTATTTGACAAACTAAAGTTGGCTAAGCTGTGTCCATTGAATAGTCCAACATCAAATAACACCTACTACAGTGGAGTCCATAATTATTGGTACCTTTTGATAAAGATGAGCAAAAATTAGTCTTTATCAAGGGTGCCAATAATTATGGACCCCACTTTATGTGCCACACAAAAACAGTCCCCTCAATAGAGTCATTGATTATGGCACTGTAACTTTGTTTTCATGACCACATCCTAGACGTCACATGGTATCTGTGATCAATGTCTCTGCCCCAACAAGCAAGTGACCTGGAAAGCATGCTGGGCTCTGCTGTTAAACCAATATACGTAGCTGTACATGTTAATTACAAATACCGTTCACAGAGTGTATGCACTTGCTGAGCGCTCTAATGCCTTTTGTAAAGGGGAATAGATTATATTTAGAATGTCAGTGGGTCTATAATGAAAGTAGGTCCCCACATCCAAATGACTATGGGTGCTAACCAGCAGGGGGGTTGAAACTCAGTTGTCAGTGATAGGCAGAGAGCATGATGGGAAGCCCACACATCTAGGACGATCTGTGATGTAGACGCTGTGGGACGGAAACCCATTTTAAATCTGTCCCACCCAGCTCGCCATGGTTCAGTTGCCTGTGCGAGTGATTTCTGACGGTGCAGCTCCAAGCTCCAGGCCCCAAATGCAGAACGGATCGGCAAAGGGATCAGCGAGTGGATCGGCGAAGACGTGTCGCGGGACAATGGCCAACTGGACTACCGGTGCCCCGCAGCGGCAGAACCATCCCCGGCCCCAGACGGCCAGGACAACCTCCCTCACCCGGCAGGAGTGCAGTTCCTGCTCCTCCATCGCCTCCTGTCCCGTCTTCTCCGGAAGGCATAGTGACCAAGAGGAGGACCCACCTCCACGCTGCCCCTCCAGCCTCTCCTCCCCCAGCCTCCAGGGCTCCAATTCCAGTCTGCACTCGTCAATCTCCAACTCCAGCCTCCACAAATTCGTCTCCAACTCCAGCCTCCACTCCTCTGGCCAAAGTCCCAATGGCTCTCTACGCAGTCTCTACTCATACGACCCCAGCCCCAAGGGCTCTCTACCCAGCCTCCAAGGCTCCTTACCCAGCCTGAAGGGATCCATCTCTGGGTTGAGGTGCTTTTTGGCGGGTCTGGATCGCTCCAGCCCAGGCCCGTGTAGCTCCAGCCTGGGTCCACGTAGCTCTAGCCCCAGCCCTAGCCCCAGTTTGCGCAGCTCCAGTCCCAGCTTGCGCAGCTCTAGCCCCAGTCTGCAGAGCACCTCTAGCTCCAGCGTGTGCAGCGGAAGCTCCAGCGAGGACGACAGCTGGGATACCAACAGCTGGAGCTCCGGGGCTACCTGCCTGCTGCGCACCTCCATCAAGCAGTACAGCGACGAGGTGTTCCGGGCCCGTGCCAGCTCCCCTGGTCCTGGTGGCAGGGCCGATAAGACTGCCGCCAGTGACACGTCTACAGAGAATGTCTACCAGACCCTGGGGAACTGCGAGGGTGATAGCGGAACGGATAGAGCCGAGAGCCAGGAGGGGCCGGAGCGAGTGTTGAAAGTAAAGTGTGATTCAACCGAAAGCCTGTCGTCATCCAGCAACCAGGGCCAGGGCAAGGTTGTGACCTTCTCAGCACAGCAGGAGCAGAAACTGGAGGAGCGGCTCAAGTTCTCCCAGTTCCTAGATGAGGTCACAAACAGGGTGCTGGTTCCAGGGAGTCCCTGGGAGTCCTTCAACCATGTTCGACAGAGAGAACTAGCCGCAGCTGCAGCCTCCTGGTCCAGCCCAATGTCTTCCTCTCTACAGCCCATTCAGGAACTACAAGAACCGAGGGTGGACTGTTCCCACTTGGAGCACCAGTGGAGCAAGTACAGCACGCCCAGCTGTAAGGTGCTGGACCACGGAGAAGGCCTGAGCAAAGTGGGCCAGGTGGAAAGCTGTTTCCACTCGGAGCTGGCATCTGTAGGGAGAACCTATCTGGAGACGGATATCGACATTGTTAGGAGACGGGATGAACTGGAGTTTAATGGCTCCCTGGAGAGAGGGAGGGAGAGAAGAAACGGCAGCCCTGAAACCCCTCGAGTGAGCTTCGAGGGACCGAGAAGCCCAAGTCCGTGTCCTGTCTTGTCCTGGCCCCAAGGCTTTTCCAAATACCCCAACAGGTCCACTAGACCTGTCAGTAACACGGTAAGTACTAGTTCCCTTTAAAAAATACATACATACACACATACATAATAGACACCCTCCAGATTACAACGTCTTCGTTACGACAATGAATTAAACATTTAATTTAAACGGGATTGCTTTATACACCAGATGCGAAGTCCTTATCAATGAGCTCCCTAGTGAGCAGAGCAAAACAGAGATTCGTTATTAAAAAAACTGGGGAGCAGAAAGGAGCAGATTAGAGAGATGCATAATGACTTGACTTTGTCATGCTCAAGGCTTTGAAATATAATTTGATCATAAGCAGCCTTGTTAAAAAAAAATACTGTAATTATACTTGACACACTCGGGCATACGCATTGTCAAGCCTCTATATTTGATCCATTGCTATTAAATGTGTCTGACAGATCATCTAGTTATGGTGCACTAAAACTACACTCGCAGGGACAGAGACCTGAGCTTTTTTGTATTGGCGCGATATTGTTTTACAACAGATGACAGGATGTTTAACACGTTGCAGTTAAAGCCACAAAGTCAAACGTACACACTTTTTACACGCCTATGAATGGGATTCCTCTCCCATTTCAAACCTGAATTCACACTTAACCCAAGCATTTTTACAAACCTTTCTGGAATGTCAATGGAATACACTGCAGTTATACTATGTCTGTTCTAGATATCTGTTACCCATGTTAGCCAGACTCACAGACGTACTGGTGTTAGTCCTTCCCTTTGGTATATGTTGTAAAATATACATAGGCCTAATTCACAACCCTCTCACTCACTGTCCAGACTGAGAAGAAACCTGGCTTTTCACTATTGCGCCTGCCTGTGATGGTTGCCAGCATAAATCATTCACAATGCTCCCTATTTTGTCTGGGCTGGGCTCTACCATTGCAGCTTCTGTAATGTCTCTTTAACACTCCTAAGGGCACTATGGTATTATAGGCCACTGTATGCTGTTTCTGGGGTGGACTGGACCAGACACAAAGCCTAGAGTCAGAGGAGGGTCGTTTTCCGCAATGTGAATTCAACGTGTGCCAGCTCCCTAGCAACTCAGAGCAACTGTCTGTCAGTGTGTGGGGGAGGGGAGGGGGGAATCAAAGAGAGATGGTCTCTGCCAAGACGAATGAATGAATGGAGAAGATGGGATGCAAGAGAGATGGGAGTAGCACTGTGTGTGTGTGTGTGTGTGTGTGTGTGTGTGTGTGTGTGTGTGTGTGTGTGTGTGTGTGTGTGTGTGTGTGTGTGTGTGTGTGTGTGTGTGTGTGTGTGTGTGTGTGTGTGTGTTTCATCAAATTCAATTCAAGGTCCTTATGTCGACTCACAACCTTCCAAAAATGATGAACTGTTAAGTAATACTATCGTATCTTATCTTATATTATCTTATCGTTATTTGTTCAAAGGATTGATGCCATGCATGGCGGCAGATAGCCTAGCAGTTAACAGTGTTGGGCCAGTAACCGAAAGATTGCTGGTTCGAATCCCCGAGTCGACTAGGTGAAAAATCTGTCGATGTGCCCTTGAGCAAGGCACTTAACCCTAATTGCTCCTGTAAGTCACTCTGGATAAGAGTGTCTGCTAAATGACTAAAATGTCAAATGTAATGGCAGAGGTACCCTACAATATGGTATTCAAAGGCTATTTATCAGATCCAATACTCAGGACAGTGTGAGGCTTCGATGGGGAGGTGCTGGCATGGCTGCCTCTGCTTCCTTTTCCATTGACTGCTCCCAGGGATACCCATAGACTTGGCTTCCTGCCTGGGGACAGGAGGAGCCGGAGGAGAGGGAGGGGCAGAGGCGGGGGAGTAGGGGGGGATTACTGGTCTCTCATTCACTAGTGAGTCGTGACTCATCCTGCTGGATCACACACACACTGTTACTATGACAAACACACACACGCACGCGCACACACACACACAATGTTGCTATGACAAATACACACACGCACGCGCACACACACACACACTGTTGCTATGACAAACACACACACGCACGCGCGCGCACACACACACTGTTGCTATGACACATCACACACACGCACAGCATTGCCTCTCCCAGAGCAGTGTCAGATAACATATGCTGAAGTGTTTATAACCTGTTATGATACTTAATAACAAAATGACGATGTCTGTGAAGGAGTATATAATTTTTATATAATCTGAAGTGTCAATTTTAATTATAGTCGTAGTCATAAATATAATATAATAGTATTATCATCATATTAACAGTGAGAACCATCTGTTTTGTTATAATATTGTACAGTATGGAACAGGATCCAGAGGATCCAATGTTTGGTTCTGCACCACAAAACCCTTTTGTGTAACCCATGCTATGCATGTAGGGGAGACACAAGCATACAAGGAAAGTCAACAGATTCCATTATCTATTACTTGTGGTACTCCCTCCTTCTCTCTCTCTCTCTCTTGCTCTCTCTTGCTCTCGCTCTCTCTCGCTCTCTCTCTTGCCCTCTCTCTCTCTCTCTCTCTCTCTCTACCCATGGCCCTGGGGCACCTGGTCCCAGCACGCTGCATTTTTTTCTCTTACCGTAATTCTGACGTTTTCCTTTCTGTCTTAATGCTGATGTGGAAGTGAGGGGTATTTGTATACGGGCGTCTTTGAGAGACACTTACCACAAAAGCCTGCCTCGTTAAAGATACTAGACAGTGTCTCAGCTCAGTATCCATCTAATCTTTTCATTTCTTCCCCCTTTCCTCCGTCTCTTCCCCCACTAGGTGTCTGATGGGAAGATGTATGACATGAGGTAGGCCACTTTCACTTTTCCACTTTTCTCCCATGCTGAAACACCACAACCCCCTCCTCTCTCTCTCTCTCTCTCTCTCTCTCTCTCTCTCTCTCTCTCTCTCTCTCTCTCTCTCTCTCTCTCTCTCTCTCTCTCTCTCGCTCTCTCTCGCTCTCTCTCTCTCTCGCTCTTTTTCTCTTTCTCTTTCTTCCCCATCTCTCTCTCCCACTCATCTCTCTTCCCCCTGCTGCTTCATTCAGCTCTGATGTCTGTGTCCAGTCAGTATTGGCGGAGGGCTTATTTCACAGTGCATACCGCTACTGCTGCTAATGCTCCGAGCTCTGGATGCGCAGACACGTGAATGCTGTGATCTTTACCCGTTTGTAAATGAGTCGTAAAGCGTGTAAACGGTAAGCAGAGGAGATTGAGGGAAGCGTGCGTTCATGAGTGGGTGTGTGTGCGAGAGAAATCTGCCATACCATTTACACATAATGATTGGGAACGCTTTCCTGTGGGTCTTATTGTGTTCTCTGTGGTGTTTTGCCTTGTTGCTAATCTGACACTGTGTGAAAGAGCGCATTGACTGAGTGGTGAGATGATGTGGGGAAAATTGCCAGGCATTCTATGAGGCGGGAGCTCATAATTATATGTTTGTAGCATGTGTGCAATACAGGAAGTGGACTGGCATGTGTAATTTAAGTGTGCTGTGTGTCACTGAGAGATCTCACAGTTAGTTGGATAATGAATATGGATAATAGAGGTGGGTTAACAATTCAAGTCCATTCTTTTTCTCTTTGCGCATTGTGTTCATTTGTATCGTGAATGAGATTACACTGGGAATTATATACAGGCGATAGGCTAAGCATTTTATCTTTCATTTAGCGACACCTCTGTAGCTTTACAAAAATGGCACCAAGAGAGACCATGATGGAGGAATAAGTGTGACATGAAACAAAGTTGTTATTATCCTTGCCTGAATCATTCCTCTTTTTATGTCCAAACCCATGACGATAATACTTTGCGGAGCATGGGAGATTGGTTTAATATCTGATTTAGCCAAAACGCTTAGTGAATTAGAACGCTTTTTCCAGATATCGCTCTCCATCGACTTTATAATGTTGTCGTCAGCATAATGTGACCATTACATCTTAGGAGTTAATTGCCTTCACCTCAAGACTTAACCTCGAGGTTGGGAAATGTATTGATTGAGATGATACCCATTTGCCATTAGTAAATTAAAGGGGCAATCTGCAGTTACGACATCAATTTTTGGACTTATAAATGAATGATATATACCCAATGATTATTGAAGAATATCATTTATAAATGCCTCATGAGCTTAATTCAATTATCGTACCCCATCAGAAACCAAAATATAAGCTTGTTTGACTCCAATGTTTGTAAACAATGTAAATGTAAACAAAAACTCTATAGCTTCAAAACATGGTTAAAACTATAATTTTTACATCATGGATGGTCAATCCTTGCATCCATAGCTCTGTCTATGAATTGAAGAGTGGTTACAGAGTGGTTACATTTCTCCAGCCCCATCTCTTTACCAAAACAGTGTCAGGGTGTACGCTTTGTTGTTGTTTCTACTGCAGATTGCCCCTTTAAAACAAATAGCACCTTTGCCTTGACTGAGTCCAGAGGGATATTTGGAATCTCTGAAGTGTTTCACAAACAGCCTGAGGTGATGCATCTCATTTATCCACACAAAGAGGGAAACAGTGCCAACATTTTAAGTTGACTACCCTGTGCTGTTTCTAGTGCCATGACAGAGGTAGTTGGCACCAAGGTGCGGGTTCAAAACACCAGCGGTACTACAGCGGTGCATTCAGTGCGACTGAACTGTGTCAAAAGTTTAATTCAATGAAAACGGTACTGTACTGAACAACCAGTTGAATATTAGTGTGACGATGGTGGCGCAGAGAGCGATTGTGTACGGTGTGCTGCACGAGATTTGCAATTTCAAATGGTCACACACACATTGATCAGGCAACACCTCGCCAGTCGCCACGCCCAGCAAGCGGGAAGAAACGTACCTCGAACGCTGTAGAAGAACGGTGCGCACCGTTTTGGGGAAACTTGAACGCACCACAACGCTACTATATAACTGCAGTGCTCCACTACCTAAATAGTGAAGGAGGAGATTAACAGTAGACCACATCCGTTAACTCTCCCTCTATATAACTCTCCCTCTGAGTGTGATGCATTCATCGTCGATACACACTCTAGACATTTTCAAACAACAACAATAACAACACTAGCGTTGTGTGAACAGCCCCTGAGTAGGTGAAGGCTTGTGTCCTACCACATTCTCTTCACTAGACGTATACATCAGCCACAGGACTGTAAACTGTAGTTCTATTCCCGAGACTAAGGCCTCACACCAACAGTTGCTCTGAGACCAAGTTAAGCCAGGCTTCTTTTATTCAGACTTTGAGATACATGCTTGTATATTCCTGTAGGTACAGTACACCGTTAGTCTTTCCACTTGAACAGTGTGAGGAGTAGCATCCAAAGCTTAAGCTAGGTGTTTGGTGTTTTCCCATGAGCCTAGTCTGGAGCAATGTACTGAATGGTACAACCTCCTCTCTCTCTCTCTCTCTCTCTCTCTCTCTCTCTCATTTCTACTCTCCTTCTGTCTCTCTTCTCTCCTAACACTCTCACTCCTACATCTCTCTCGGCTAACACCTCTCCTCTCTCTTCTCTCTCCTTAACTTCGCTCTATTCTTCATCTCTCTCGACGCTCTCGAGCTTTCAGCCTCGTCTAAAACCTTCTTCTCGCTTATCTCTCTCTTCTCTGCTTAGTACTTCTTTTGCTATCTTTCTGTTTAACACCCTATCTCCGTCTACCCACATAGCTCGTCTAAACACTAGCTTCCGATCGCGCAAACAAGCGCGCTCGTCTACTCTCTCGCGCTCTCTCTCTCTGCTCCTTTCTCGCTCTCCTCTCCTCCTAACAATCTCTCTCTCGCTCTATCTCCTCTGCGTTACTCTCTCTCTCTCTTCCTCTCTCTCTCTCACTCTCTCTATCTCTCTCTCCGTCTAACACACTTCTCTCTCACTCTCTCTCCGTCTAACACACTCTCTCTCACTCTCTCTCCGTCTAACACACACTCTCTCTCTCTAACTGTCTCGTTCTCTCTCTAACACTCTCTCACTCTTATTATTTCCAAGATGAGATCTGATGTTTAGAAAAGCAATTTGTGTGGTCTGGCATCTGGAGGAGGTTGATGAGAAATATTTTGAGCGCAGGTTGTGGTTTGGTGAGAGTTACTAAACAAATCCATTTCTGTTTATTGAGAATTTGTCTGACAGGTACAACACATCTAGTCTGGCTTTCTCACTCAAACACCAACACACACAGCCACACACAGCCCCCGAGCGCTGCCCCCTTCCATTACAACAGTTGGATCCAAACAAGGAGAGGTCTCAACCCCCCATTAAAAAAAATAACATTTGAGTGAACCATTTTGAGTGAACCAATTTTCTGAGTGAATATTGCCTTTACAAAGGCGTCCTGTCCAGACCAGTGTGTCACAGCTCTCTCTGCACTGTGAGTCACGTGGGTCGCGTCAACCTGGCTACAAGACACCCAATTCCTAAATGTAATTTTAATGAAGGGCTCACAGTATTTGCCATTGACAGGATTCCCATGATGTAGGTTTTAGTTTATTAACCTCAACACGTATTGACATATGTGAATGAATGGGTTGCCAGATTTGAATAAATTCTGCAGCCCTCTTTAGGAATGAGCCAGTCAGTAGTCTTTGGAAATGACAAATAAATGCCCGGTCCCTCCTCCTCCATCTCAATTCCATCCCACACCACCTGTGATCCTGTTAACTCCCTACTTGTCAGTCCTAGGAAAAATCAAACCATTTGGAAATGTGTCCAACTGCCACAGAGCCATTTGACCAGCATGTCAGAGAGCAGATAGGAGGCAGGGGGGGATTCGCAAAGCCTGAACTCTCTGCATAGCTGGTTGCCTCTCACTCGCTCTCCCTCTTTCTCGCTCTCTGTCACTTTCTCTCTCTCTCTCTCTCTCGCTCTCTCTCTCCAAAGGGAATGCTGACTCCTCCACTGACAGAGGTACAGAGGCTTCCCTACACCCCCCCCCCCCCCCCCCCCCCTTTCCCAGCCCAGCACAGGGCTTGTGTAGAGGGAATATATCCAGCTGTGGATACCCGACCTCTGGATTGGGCTGATAAAGTGAAAAGGGCTTGAATGTAAAAGCCAAGCCTTTGCTGAGGAGCCAAATGTGAATGTCACGCCCCTCCGCTGTGCTGTACTGTGCAGAGGAGATACTGAATGCCCCCACTGCTGGTTGTAAACTAAAACATGCATATCCGTCTCTCTTTAGGTTTTCAGTAACTTCCTTGTCTTATTGGTGCTCAGTAGATGTAATTGCTAGCAACAATGCATGCTGAATTTGGGTGGTGCGTTCACAGTTCCTTGAGAAATTCTACACACCCTTTGCACAGTCTTCACATTTTGCTGCCTTAAAATTACATCTAAAAATGTATTTTTCCCCTACCTATTCCTACCTTTCTGAGTATGTCCCCAAAGTTATTACTTGGTGTAATGTTGACAAATACAAATTGATAAATGTTGCCCTAAGAGTTAAGGTAAAATCTTCTTCAAAATGATTTACAGCTGTAATGGCTGCCAAAGGTGCTTCCATCAAGTATACACTGGGATGTGAAGACACGCAATTAAGACATCTTCGTTTTTATTTTATTTTAATTCATTTGGAAGATTTTCTGTATTTTTTCTTTCACTTTGAAAATGTAGAGTAGGTTGTGTAGATAGGTAGGGTAAAAATCGAATGTATTATCTTTTTAGATACATTTTATGTTAAGCCTGTGCAAGGGGTGTGTAGACTTTCCCTAGTGACTAGTGTTGTCTTGGCAACCTCAGGATCAGGAAGGATTTTACACAGTATCAAATCAGATTCCTCTCAGATTAGGCAGCACGCAGAGGCGAGTTCAATTATTTTCACCTTTCTCCGAACCAGGGTATGAAATGAATCACAGTATTATACAGACGATATTGTGATGTATACCTGGGTTCAAGCTTGCTTGACTTAGCTGTTGTCTTTTGAAGGCCTGGAGAGGAGAGAGAGAGAAGAGGGAGAGCGGAGAGAGAGAGGAGAGAGAGAGAGAGAGAGAGGAGAGAGAGAGAGAGGAGAGAGAGACGAGAGAGAGACGAGAGGAGAGAGAGAGAGAGAGAAGAGAGAGAGAGAGAGAGAGAGAGAGAGGAGAGACGAGGAAGGAGAGAAGAGAGTGAGGAGAGAGAGAGAGGAGAGAGGGATGAGAGACGAGAGGAGGATGATCAGGAGGAGAGAGATAAGAAAAAGCAAGAACAGAGCAGAAGAGCAGATAGTAAAAAGAGAAAAGGAATACAACGAGGGATGGATACCAGGAAAAAGGGGGGGGGGAAAAAGAAAAAAGGGGAAAAAAAAGGGGGGGGGAAAAAAAAAAAAGGGGGGGGGGGGGGGGGAAAAAAAAAGGGAAGGGGGCAAAAAGGGGAAAAGAGAGGAAGAGAGGGGGGAGAAGGGGGGAAAAAAAAGGAAAAGGAAAAGGGGGGAAAAAGGGGGGGGGGGAAAAAAGGGGGGGGGAAGGAGGGGAAAAAGGGGGGGAAGGGGGGGAAAAGAAAAAGGGGAAAAAAAAATTTAAAAGGGAGGGAGAGAAGAGGGAAGAAAAAAGGAAGGGAAAAAGAAAAGAAAGAGAGGAGAAGGGAAGGGGGAAGGGGAGGGGGAGGAGAGGGGGGAAGAGGAGAGAGGGGGGGAGAGAGAGAAGAGGGAGAGGGGAGGGAGAGAGAGAAGGAGGGGGAGAGAGGGAAGAGAGAGAAGGGGAGAGAGAGAGGGGAGGAGAGAGGGAGAGACGGAAGGAAGGAGGAGAGAGAGAGGAGGAGAGAGAGAGAGAGAGGAGAGGGAGGGAGAGAGGGGGAGGAGGGGGAGCGGAGAGAGGAGGGGAGGAAGAAGAGGAGGGGAGGAAGAGAGAGAAGAGAGGGAGGAGGAGAGGGGAGGGGAGAGAGAGAGAGAGGAGAAGAGAGAGGGGAGAGATGATCCCCCTTGCTGTCGGTAGGACTCATCAAAAAAACAAAACCAGAGCTAGAAGAGGCCATTTCCCTTCTCTGCCTCACCACCACAAAACACAAGACTATACAACGGGGTATTCAACAGGGACATATCCATTTTAGAAAATTGGAATTTGTGAGACAACAAAGGAAACTTGGTTTATATGTCTCCTCAATGTCACGTTGCATAAGGATTTGAAGACAGGTGCAGGAATACGTAATAGTGGTTTTATTTTCTCCACCCAACACAAGGTATATCATGAACAACGACGGGGACGAAGCCCAAAACAAACACCTATATATATATATATATATATATATATATATATAAAACACAAAACACAGGGATGTAACCCAAACAAAAGAGTGAGGTGTAACCTCTATACAATACACGGGACGAGACCCGTAATACCAAGAGCACAATACACGGTACTCACGAGACCAACGGACATGGGACAAGACAGTCCGGGGTTGGTGGCAATGAACCAGATCAGTGACGCCTTGAAGGCCGGTGACGTAGACCTCCGGAGCTGGTGAACGGAATGAGCAGCAGTACCGGGGGATTCCGGGACACTCAACTTAAAAGGCATTGTAGAAGGTCGTTGCAGTTCTCTTGAGCTACCATAGTGAGATTGTAAATTTCCATATCAACATTCTGTAGAGGTTTTCCTCTCATATCTCTTATCACTCACACAAAGCACTGGAATAAAATGGGCTTTCTGAGTAATACTTGTTCAAGGAATTGGGTAAGTGCTGATTTTCAGTTCTTTCAGCAATACGGAGTGAGACATTGTCCTCTAAGAAAAGGTACTGAGATGATTCAGACAGACTGCATTATGCGTTTACAAACTAGTGGTGCAGTTTTACAGTCTCCTGTATTTTCTATGTTGGCTTTGCTAACAGCAAAGTTCATCCTGTACAAAGCAGCAGTCTTTGGACAGTGTGGTATGGGCTTGGGTATTCAACCTATATATACAGTGAGGGTAAAAAGTATTTGATCCCCTGCTGATTTTGTACGTTTGACCACTGACAAAGACATGATCAGTCTATAATTTTAATGGTATGTTTATTTGAACAGTGAGAGACAGAATAACAACAAACAAATCCAGAAAAACGCATGTCAAAAATGTTATAAATTGATTTGCATTTCAATGAGGGAAATAAGTATTTGACCCCTCTGCAAAATATGACTTAGTACTTGGTGGCAAAACCCTTGTTGGCAATCACAGAGGTCAGACGTTTCTTGTAGTTGGCCACCAGGTTTGCACACATCTCAGGAGGGATTTTGTTCCACTCCTCTTTGCAGATCTTCTCCAAGTCATTAAGGTTTTGAGGCTGATGTTTGGCAACTCGAACCTTCAGCTCCCTCCACAGATTTTCTATGGGATTAAGGTCTGGAGACTGGCTAGGCCACTCCAGGACCTTAATGTGCTTCTTCTTGAGCCACTCCTTTGTTGCCTTGGCCGTGTGTTTTGGGTCATTGTCATGCTGGAATACCCATCCACGACCCATTTTCAATGCCCTGGCTGAGGGAAGGAGGTTCTCACCCAAGATTTGACGGTACATGGCCCTGTCCATCATCCCTTTGATGCAGTGAAGTTGTCCTGTCCCCTTAGCAGAAAAATACCCCCAAAGCATAATGTTTCCACCTCTATGTTTGACAGTGGGGATGGTGTTCTTGGTGTCATAGACAGCATTCCTCCTCCTCCAAAATCAAGCTCTTTGGCATCATCTGACCACAACACTTTCACCCAGTTCTCCTCTGAATCATTCAGATGTTCATTGGCAAACTTCAGACGGGCCTGTATATGTGCTTTCTTGAGCAGGGGGACCTTGCGGGCGCTGCAGGATTTCAGTCCTTCACGGCGTAGTGTGTTACCAATTGTTTTCTTTGTGACTATGGTCCCAGCTGCCTTGAGATCATTGACAAGATCCTCCCGTGTAGTTCTGGGCTGATTCCTCACCGTTCTCATGATCATTGCAACTCCACGAGGTGAGATCTTGCATGGAGCCCCAGGCCGAGGGAGATTGACAGTTATTTTGTGTTTCTTCCATTTGCGAATAATCACACTAACTGTTGTCACCTTCTCACCAAACTGCTTGGCGATGGCCTTGTAGCCCATTCCAGCCTTGTGTAGGTCTACAATCTTGTCCCTGACATCCTTGGAGAGCTCTTTGGTCTTGGCCATGGTGGGGAGTTTGGAATCTGATTGATTGATTGCTTCTGGGGACAGGTGTCTTTTATACAGGTAACAAACTGAGATTAGGAGCACTCCCTTTAAGAGTGTGCTCCTAATCTCAGCTCGTTACCTGTATAAAAGACACCTGGGAGCCAGAAATCTTTCTGATTGAGAGGGGGTGAAATACTTAACACTTGTTTGGTTACTACATGATTCCATATGTGTTATTTCATAGTTTTGATGTCTTCACTATTATTCTACAATGTAGAAAATAGTAAAAAAATTAAGAAAAACCCTTGAATGAGTAGGTGTGTCCAAACTTTTGACTAGTAGTGTGTATGTATATATATACAGTCATGGCCAAAATTGTTGGCACCCCTGAAATTTTTCCAGAAAATGAAGTATTTCTCACAGAAAAGTATTGAAATTACACATGTTTTGCTATGCACATGTTTATTTCCTTTGTGTGTATTGGAATAACACAAAAAAAACAGGGAAAAAAGCAAATTTGACATAATTTCACACAAAACTCAAAAAATGGGCCGGACAAAATGATTGGCACCCTTAACTTAATATTTAGTTGCACACCCTTTGGAAAAAATAACTGAAATCAGTCGCTTCCTATAACCATCAATAAGCTTCTTACACCTCTCACCCGGAATTTTGGACCACTCTTCTTTTGCAAACTGCTCCAGGTCTCTCATATTGGATGGGTTGCCTTTTCCCAACAGCAATTTTAAGATCTCTCCACAGGTGTTCAATGGGATTAAGATCTGGACTCATTGCTGGCCACTTCAGAACTCTCCAGCGCTTTGTTGCCATCCATTTCTGGGTGCTTTTTGAAGTATGTTTGGGGTCATTGTCCTGCTGGAAGACCCATGATCTCGGACGCAAACCCAGCTTTCTGACACTGGGCCCTACATTGCGACCCAAAATCCTTTGGTAATCCTCAGATTTCATGATGCCTTGCACACAGTCAAGGCACCCAGTGCCAGAGGCAGCAAAACAACCCCAAAACATCTTTGAACCTCCACCATATTTGACTGTAGGTACTGTGTTCTTTTCTTTGAAGGCTTCAATACATTTTCGGTAAACAGTAGAACGATGTGCTTTACCAAAAAGCTCTATCTTGGTCTCATCTGTCCATAAGACGTTCTCCCAGAAGGAATTTGGCTTACTCATGTACGTTTTGGCAAACTGTAGTCTTGCTTTTTTATGTCTCTGTGTCAGCAGTGGGGTCCTCCTGGGTCTCCTGCCATAGCGTTTCATTTCATTCAAATTTCGACGTATAGTTCGCGCTGACACTGATGCACCCTGAGCCTGCAGGACAGCTTGAATTTCTTTGGAACTTGTTTGGGGCTGCTTATCCACCATCCGGACTATCCTGCGTTGCAACCTTTCATCAATTTTTCTCTTCCGTCCACGTCCAGGGAGATTAGCTACAGTGCCATGGGTTGCAAACTTCTTGATCATGTTGCGCACTGTGGACAAAGGAACATCTAGATCTCTGGAGATGGACTTGTAACCTTGAGATTGTTGATATTTTTCCACAATTTTGGTTCTCAAGTCCTCAGACAGTTCTCTTTTCCTCTTTCTGTTCTCCATGCTTAGTGTGGCACACACAGAAACACAATGCAAAGACTGAGTCAACTTCTCTCCTTTTTATCTGCTTTCAGGTGTGATTTTTAGATTGCCCACACCTGTTACTTGCCCCAGGTGAGTTTAAAGGAGCATCACATGCTTGGAACAAACTTATTTATCCACAATTTTGAAAGGGTGCCAATAACTTTGTCCGGCCCATTTTTTTAGTTTTGTGTGAAATTATGTCAAATTTGCTTTTTTCCTGTTTTTTTTTGTGTTATTCCAATACACACAAAGGAAATAAACATGTGCATAGCAAAACATGTGTAATTTCAATACTTTTCTGTGAGAAATACTTCATTTTCTGGAAAAATTTCAGGGGTGCCAACAAGGGGGCCAGGACGGGAGAGAGATAGAGAGAGTAGAGAGAGGAGAGAGAGAGTAGGAGAGAGAGAGAGAGAGAGATGGAGAGGCGATAGAGAGGGGGAGAGAGAGGAGACAGGAGAGCGAGAGAGAGAGATCAGAAGAGAGATGAGAGAGAGATAGAGAGAGATATGAGAGAGCACGGGAGAGAGAGAGAGTAGTAGAGAGAGTAGATGAAGGATAGATATAGATAGAGAGATAGGAGAGAGAGAGAGAGCTAATATATATAATATATATATGATAGATATACATGTTATATATATATAGAGATATATATATATATATATATATATATAATATATATATTAGTATATATAGATATGTATATATACTAAATATATAATATATATATATATATATATATACATGTATATATATACACCAGTCCCCTATACACTCAACCTATACCAGTCCCCTGACTCCTTAATTTTATATCACATTTGATAAGATGCACATTTCATTGTGTTGTAATTTGGAGATTTTGTAAACACTTTGTTCCAGCTAATTTGTGAAGATATTTGGGCGTCTTTCCAAATTGTGCTTCAATATGTATAAGATCCTGTGCCAGATTTTGTAAAGGGACAGATGCTATGCAGAAACCAGCATAGAGGACATCACTGAATACACAGCATGACAAAGTGATGCACTGTGTGAACCCATAGTGCTGTAGGTAGAAAACCACACAGCTCTTAGACTGGAGCCAATGACTTCCTGAAATGTACACCCATAGCTCCTAGCTCCAAGGCTCAGCACTCAATCTGTGCCTAGCCATATGGAGATGGTTCCTCCAGGCAAGACGTTAAATTCTGCCATGGCATGGATGGCAGGGCCGCAGGGCAAACTGGTCTTGATGCTGTCAGAACGTTGACACCTCATTGGAGACCTCTCCAGAGGGAGCATGTGGCTCTGTGAGATTGGTTAGATTGGTAAGCCTTAAAGGATAACCAATCTCATAGAGCCACATGCTCCCTCTGACTCTAGCAGCAGACCACTGACTCTAACAACAGACCACTGACTCTAGCAGCAGACCACTGACTCTAACAGCAGACCACTGACTCTAACAGCAGACCACTGACTCTAACTGCAGACCACTGACTCTAGCAGCAGACCACTGACTCTAACAGCAGACCACTGACTCTAACAGCAGACCACTGACTCTAACAGCAGACCACTGACTCTAGCAGCAGACCACTGACTCTAACAGCAGACCACTGACTCTAACAGCAGACCACTGACTCTAACAGCAGACCACTGACTCTAACAGCAGACCACTGACTCTAGCAGCAGACCACTGACTCTAACAGCAGACCACTGACTCTAGCAGCAGACCACTGACTCTAACAGCAGACCACTGACTCTAACAGCAGACCACTGACTCTAGCAGCAGACCACTGACTCTAACAGCAGACCACTGACTCTAGCAGCAGACCACTGACTCTAACAGCAGACCACTGACTCTAGCAGCAGACCACTGACTCTAACAGCAGACCACTGACTCTAACAGCAGACCACTGACTCTAGCAGCAGACCACTGACTCTAACAGCAGACCACTGACTCTAACAGCAGACCACTGACTCTAACAGCAGACCACTGACTCTAGCAGCAGACCACTGACTCTAACAGCAGACCACTGACTCTAACAGCAGACCACTGACTCTAACAGCAGACCACTGACTCTAGCAGCAGACCACTGACTCTAACAGCAGACCACTGACTCTAACAGCAGACCACTGACTCTAACAGCAGACCACTGACTCTAGCAGCAGACCACTGACTCTAACAGCAGACCACTAACTCTAAGAGCAGACCACTGACTCTAAGAGCAGACCACTGACTCTAACAGCAGACCACTGACTCTAATAGCAGACCACTGCGTTAGTTAAGAGCAGAGTATGACACACGCAGGCACAGGTGCACCCATCAGAACGAGATGTGTGACTCAACTGGAATACAGCAATGTTGATTGAATTTCTGCCCCCCCCCCCCCCCCCCTCTCCCAAACACACACACAACAAACTCACAAACACACATTCTTACCCATGGCCTCATTGTGACAGGCAGGCTGTTCCAAGGGCAGGGATGAGGCATGAGGGAGTAGTAGTGAGTTTAGTGATGAGTCACCACAGCAGGGGAGAACTATTTATTATGAACTAATTCCTCCCAATGAGCTTCAAGTGTTACAATAAAACAATATGACGGATTCCCTCGTCATTAGTCGCTATGGTATATCTCTATGGTATATCTCTGTGGTATATCTCTATGGTATAGCTCTATAATGCAGATGCTCATCAAGCATAATCATCCTCCACCTGATCCACAAGTAACTAAGCTTAAACATGGCCAATACACTTGTGTTTCTTAAACAATATAGCAGACCTGGGTTCAAATAGTATTTGAAATATTTATAATACTTTGATGAACGTTTGCTTAAACCTGTCTGGAGTGACAGGTGGGAGAGGTGTGCACTTTTGGAACTATGCCATTGGGTTCCATTGCATTTGACAAAGCTCAATCAAGCACAGCTAAATAATTTGAAATATTTGAAATACTATATGAACCCAGGTCTACAATTGTCAAATCAAGGACTATGATCAGATTAAACAGATGATGTTGGCTGCTTGTCTTGGCTCCTCACAACTTCATTATGTTTTTCTTTTCCTGGCTAGAGCCTGCTGTGAGCATATGGTTTCCTCAGAGAACATCCAAAAAATAGAGGACATCCGAAAAATAGAGGACATCCGAAAAATAGAGATACTGTATGTATGATATTCTATGATTTATTTGACCCCCCCCAAAAAAAAAAATATTACAACCACACATAATCGACGACAACACAAAAAGTTGTGAAACTTATTTCCATTGTTGTCCTCAATGGAACATCAGATAATCCCTTTTGGGATGTAAACATTGGGTTGTATTTTTCCCCAGTCACTGCATGGTTCCCTAGTCTCAGATTGTTGATTAGTAATTACTCTGCTGACAAAATCCACAGTGTTGGTTATTGCCTTTGGTGAAGTACACTGGGGAATAAATAGGAAAAGCTTACATTTCTGGAGTGTTGCATCAGAATCAATTGCTGTGCTTTGCCCACAGAAAATATGAAAAAAGTTGGGCAAAACTTTTGTAAATTCTTGCCATTCGTACAGCCAACATTTCATAAAGTTGTTTTCACGTTTCTATACAAAGCACAGTTTTTGCATTGATTTACACCAGTTGCATGTACTTCTTTTTGTTTTGTTCTCATAGTTACACCAGTGTCATTACGATGTAAGCAGACATTATTACCTAGTACAGGAGTCGGCAACAGGCAGAGTGCTAATTTCTTTGGATTTTAGTTTTTGCTAAAGAAATACGGTCAAATCACAAGGAATTCAGCAAACAAATAACTTAATTTGGGAAATCTGTTCCCAAGTAGTCCCACACAAAAAAAAAAGATGTGATGATATCTCAACATAATCAAGGTATGAAATTATTGTTATTTTCAAATACAATCTCTTTTTGGGCTTAGTTGTGGTCAATTTATTATAATTATGTTCACCCCCCCCCCTCCCCCGACTATTCGCGCCGACAAAAATTAGCCCGCGGCTGAACCCAGTTGCCTACCTCTGACCTAGTACCTACAATTGCTATACTATATAATATAAAGTGAGACGGCTACCCCTCCAGTACGTTTTGTGGTCGTTATGAAGTCAATCTGGTTCCTTGATTAAGATTTTAACAGACCATTCTGTTATTATCTGAAAGAGCCACACAGTCTAGGCTATAAGGAGTGATTACATTACATGGTGTGCATTAACATTTCAGACGTCCATTAGCTCATAAATAAATATATCTGGGAGGTAGCTCGATCTCACCTCCCATGACTCATAGGCACCAAATAACCTCCAGACGCTGGCACCAGGCACCACACTTAAGATGGATGCCGCACTGCATCTGAATTAAAATACCATTTATCTTTCATTAAACAAAGAGCCAGGAGAGCTGCTCTCTCTGAGAACGGAATGAGAACGTTACGATTTTATAAATGTTTTGTTCAAGGTTTGTTTGATGAGTGATACATTTCTTCAGGAGGACGACTAGGCTGCTCACATGGGTCGTTTTAAGGACAGTGAAGACATACGGCTCATCTCTTGTGGCTTGTTTACATCCTCCAGCATCAGAAGCGTCTTACGTCGTAGGCCCAGTCCTTTATTAACTCTGCTGTGAGGTATTCTAGTACAGGTACAATAGCATACGTACAGGGAGGGAGTCACAATAGCACTGGAGAGCAAAGAGAAAAGAGAAAAGAGGAAGGTGGCTAACTACAAGCACACTTCCTTACTCCAGCAACTACACACTTCCTTACTCCAGCAACTACACACTTCCTTACTCCAGCAACTACACACTTCCTTACTCAAGAAACTACACACTTCCTTACTCCTGCAAATGCACACTTCCTTACTCCAGCAACTACACACTTCCTTACTCCAGCAACTACACACTTCCTTACTCCTGCAACTACACACTTCCTTACTCAAGAAACTACACACTTCCTTACTCCAGCAACTACACACTTCCTTACTCCAGCAACTACACACTTCCTTACTCCAGCAACTACACACTTCCTTACTCCTGCAACTACACACTTCCTTACTCCAGCAACTACACACTTCCTTACTCCAGCAACTACACACTTCCTTACTCCTGCAACTACACACTTCCTTACTCCAGAAACTACACACTTCCTTACTCCAGCAACTACACACTTCCTTACTCCTGCAACTACACACTTCCTTACTCCAGCAACTACACACTTCCTTACTCCAGAAACTACACACTTCCTTACTCCAGCAACTACACACTTCCTTACTCCAGCAACTACACACTTCCTTACTCCTGCAACTACACACTTCCTTACTCCAGAAACTACACACTTCCTTACTCCAGCAACTACACACTTCCTTACTCCAGCAACTACACACTTCCTTACTCCTGCAACTACACACTTCCTTACTCCAGAAACTACACACTTCCTTACTCCAGCAACTACACACTTCCTTACTCCAGCAACTACACACTTCCTTACTCCAGCAACTACACACTTCCTTACTCCAGCAACTACACACCTCCTTACTCCAGCAACTACATGGGGCTCCCGAGTGGCGCAGCGGTCTAAGGCACTGCATCTCAGTGCTTGAGGCGTCACTGCAGACCCCCTGGTTCGATTCCAGGATGTATCACAACCGGCCGTGATTGGGAGTCCCATAGGGCGGCGTACAATTGGCCCAGCGTCGTCCGGGTTTGACCAGTGTAGGCTGTCATTGTAAATAATAATTTGTTCTTAACTGAAAGTTAAAATAAAAAATAAATAAAATACTTCCGACCTCTCACTCTGCAGCTGACAGATAAGGCCACAGCTAGTGACCGTATTCAGCGTGTATCCCGGCTCCTCTTTGTCTTGTACCCGGGCAGAAGTGAAAGGGAGATTAAAATACAATAAGTAGAGGCGTCTTCGGAGCGAATGAGGCAGGCGACAAACATTCATTTTGTCTCGCTGTTCTGCAGGGCTCCTGATAAAGTTTTACTGCAGCCCTGTTGGTATTTACACTGATGTTTTGGCTCTTCAAGCACAGTGATAACACTTTCCCGGGGATATGTAGAACTTCTTTGTCATGATATTATCGGGTTAATAGGTGCCTGCAGTTGGCAGGAGTATCGTTTATAGGGTGAATTACTAGACATTGACAGTATCTAGGCCTATTTTGTTTGTGCTGTTTTCGTTCAATAAGATGCTATCTGAGTGATGGGGAATGCTCAGTGTAGTCACACATTTTCACTTGACGTGTTGATCTAAAAACAGTTTGTTGTAGGATTAGTGGTTATCATAAGTTCGTTTTCGAATCCCTCATGTATTTCAAATTCGTTTATGCTCTCAACCTCTTGAAATCTTGAAAAGAGATCATTAGTGGAGAGATTTTCTGTAATATCTGTCGGAGCAATACAACGGCGGTACATTCCTTTTGACTAGTCACTCAGCCTACCCTAGATCCTGGAATGAGGACGAGCCTACACATTAAGACTGGTGTCATTGTGAATTATCAAAAGTCTGAAGTATCTCTTTCATTTTAGATTTTTTGGGAGCCAATTGCTAAAGATGTGTGAACTGTGTGTGGAATTAGAGTTGGTACCGATCCATCACATTCTCCTTTGAAGTGTTTGAAGGAGAGAAACCAGTGTTGAAAAGATATGCGCAAAAAAAAATAATCTGTGAACGAAATCTGTTTTACTTAGGTACTTTACACCACTGGAAATGAGTGAGATAAATCAGTGTTTGAGAAATTAGTGATAGAGGAATCAGTGGAAACAAGATGTCTGATCACCTCCCGCCCTTCAAGATCCTCTTTGTCCTGTGTTAGTATCATCTCGTAAATCATGCAGTCAATACTGCCAACATTAGCCTAGCAGCAAAGCAGCAGTTCATCTCTACTTTAATTTACCTCCATCTCACAGTTAGTCAACCAGACTTTTCCCTACTACTCTGTATTCCCAGGGGGACTGTGACAAGGTTAGCAACGCTAGCTAGCTCCTCCACTGATATAACAGTTAGCCCAGGTGGAGCGTGGTGAATAGACACACCATAGGTTCTGTTAGTTCTGTAATCCTGATTTATAGGGGAATAACCTGCCGGGTCATTTCATCGATGCTCCATAGGATTTAGCTGTTTGTGGATGCGGCTGTTGATGATTATGAATGGGACAAAGGGAGAGATATGAAAGGGGAGCCCATCAAATGGCCTATTGGGACCTTTGGGGGAAGTATTAATCTTACCTTTGACTGTACTGTGGCAAAGGCCATCTGATTGCCTTCATCGATATCATCCATGAAGAATGTTGGTTTGTTCAATATGAGAAAATGAATGCATGAATTCACAGCACATAACAGCTAGTAGTAGTAATGTATAACCTAATACAGTTGAATCTGTGACTGCAACGCTGTTTCTGTGATCTGTTGGCAGGGTCAACACAGATAGACAACTGCTATCTGACTCCACAGGCAAGACTTATGGCCTGAGTGGTTGAGGTTAGAGGTCACACTCTGCATCAACTACAAAAACACATGAAAGTGAATGCGGAGTGAAGAATATGAAAAAGATATATATTGGGAAAACAGCCCTCAGAGCCCAGAGAAACGGTTGCAAACATCAGAAAAGAAGGTAAGAGGGAAGTTTCCACTTCTAAATGCCACCCCTATCATTTCATTCGATCATATCCACTTCGAGCCAAGAATCCACTTCATTCATTTTATTTCTTAACACTGTAAACAAACTCAAACGTCTTTTCTCAACTATAAGCCATTGTCATGGTACCAATTTCATTACATCAGTCTCTTATTCATTTAACACCCTATTTCTGTGTCAACTATTCAGATAACGAAGACAAGCAACCTTGAAAAGCTGATGATGTACTCATGTTACACTATACAGTATATGATATTTCCCAATTTCGGTATACTAATTAGTGTTTTATGCCTCAGAAATCAATGCAATGTGCATACTCCAGAGTAACTGTGGTCACTTGGATGATAAGACCAAGAGCTGTAATTAATCTCTTAAGGATCGGACCCTTTTTTTCAATTTTCTCCTAAAATTACATACTGTAGTTCAGGCCATGAAGCAAGGATATGCATATTCTTGATACCATTTGAAAGGAAACACTTTGGAGTTTGTGGAAATGTGAAATTAATGTAGGAAAATATAACACATTAGATCTGGTAAAACATAATACAAACAAAAAAACATGCGTTTTCTATTTATTCTTTTGTTCCATCATCTTTGAAATGCAAGAGAAAGGCCACAATATAATATTGCAGTTTAGGCGTAATTTAGATGTTGGCCACTAGATGGCAGCAGTGTGTGTGCAAAGTTTCAGATTGATCCAGTGAAGCATTGCAATACTGGACTATTTTGCATCAAGTCTGCCCGAATGTGCCGAATTGGTCAATTGATACATTTTCAAGTACATAACTATAGAGAACATACAAAAATTATATGGTATTACAAAATGTAAGTTTACACACTCCCAGGAATGTCATACATGATGGATTAACTTATACACTAACTTTCTCAACGGGCGGGGTGGGTGTGGAGCCAGAGACAGCAAGGGTTCAAACTGTAGAACCCAGTTCCTACATTTGAATATAAAAATTGATTTTATCAAACCAAACTATGCTAGATTTTATCTCTGGGACCCTCAGGATGACAAATCAGAGCAAGATTACTGAATGTAAGTACATTATTTACCTTCAGAGGAGAATGTATCAAACCAGTTGCCGTGATAAGTTTTTTGTTGTTGTGCGACTTACAGGAGCAATTAGGGTTAAGTGCCTTGCTTAAGGGCACATCGACAGATGTTTCACCTAGTCGGCTCGGGGATTAGAACCAGCGACCTTTCGGTTACCGGCACAACGCTCTTACCCACTAAGCTACCTGCCGCCCAAAAGAAAGCCTTCTACATTTTACATTTTAGTCATTTAGCAAACGCTCTTATCCAGAGCGACTTACAGTTTAGTGAGTGCATACATTTTCATACTGAAAATCTATGTCCTGGAAAGTTTGCTGTTACTTACAACAGTCATGCTAATCACATTAGCACATGTTAGCTCAACCGTCCCGTAGAGGTTAATCACATGTACTTCAGTCCATGCACTATGCCCGCCAACTTATTAAGGCATCACTTACTGCTTTCAGTGAGAGCCTTGTAAAGACTTTGTAGGAAATGCAAGGGCTAGCCTAGCATGCCAGAGTCTGGGTTTAACCCACAACTTAAGCCACTAAGACACCTATCATAAAGTCCAGACCGGCAGGCATAATGTGTTTACAGTATATTTAAAGCTGCAATATGAAACTTTTTGGGCGACCCAACCAAATTAGCATAGAAATGTGTGTTATAGCTCTGTGATTGTCATTGAAAGCAAGTCTAAGAAGCGGTAGATCTGTTCTATGTGTGCTATTTCTATTCTCCCTCACTCCCTTTCCTACCTACTTCATTCCCAGCCTCTCTCTTGTTCTTTGTCTGTGTTTGTCTTTGTCTCTCACATAAACACACACACACACACACACACACACACACACACACACACACACACACACACACACACACACACACACACACACACACACACACACACACACATATACTTTCTCTCATTTACCATAGAAACACCTCTGCATATCAGAGGAACTCATTGACTCATGCACTCTCCAGATAAATATTCTCAGTATTCACCTATTTGCATTTGTATTTGTATTTATTAGGATCCCCATTAGCTGCTGCCAAGGCAGTTACATTACATATAAAAACAAAAGATAAAACAATACATCATATAACATTATTACACCACCACATATCCACAATACAAAATGTTTAATACCACCGTACAACAATATCACTGTGCGCGTATGCTTGTGTCTGTACCCTTGTGTGTGCCTCTTCACAGTCCCCGCTGTTCCATAAGGTGCATTTTTACCTGTTTTTTGTCTGCTTGCATCAGTTACCTGATGTGGAATAGAGTTCCATGTAGTCATGGCTCTATGCAGTACTGTGCGCCTCCCATAGTCTGTTCTGGACTTGGGGACTGTGAAGAGACCTCTGGTGGCATGTCTTGTGGGGTATGCATGGGTGTCCGAGCTGTGTGCTAGTATTTTAAACAGACAGCTCGGTTCATTCAGATTGTCAACACCTCTTACAAAAACAAGTAGTGATGAAGTCAATCTCTCTTCCACTTTGAGCCATGAGAGATTGACATGCATGTCATTAATGTTAGCTCTCTGTGTACTTTTAAGGGCCAGCCGTGCTTCCCTGTTCTGAGCCAACTGCAATTTACCCAAGTCCCTCTTTGTGGCAACTGACCACACAACTGAACAATAGTCCAGCTGTGACAAAACTAGGGCCTGTAGGACCTGCCTTGTTGATAGTGCTGTTAAGAAGGCAGAACAGCACTTTATTATGGACAGACTTCTCCCCATCTTAGCTACTGTTGTATCAATATGTGTTGACCTTGACAGTTTACAATCCAGGGCTACTCCAAGCAGTTTAGTCACCTCAACTTGCTCAATTTCCACATTATTCATTACGAGATGTAGTTGAGGTTTAGGGTTTAGTGAATGATATGTCCCATATACAATGCTTTTAGTTTTGGAAATATTTAGGACTAACTTATTCCTTGCTACCAATTCTGAAACTAACTGCAGCTTTTTGTTACGTGTTGCAGTCATTTCAGTTGCTGTAGTAGATGACGTGTCTAGTGTGGAGTCATCGGCATACATAGACACTCTGGCTTTACTCAAAGCCAGTGGCATGTCGTTCGTAAAAATTGAAAAAAGTAAGGGGCCTAAACAGCTACCCTTGGGAATTCCTGATTCTACCTGGATTATGTTTGAGAGGCTTCCATTAAAGAAAACCCTCTGTGTTCTGTTAGACAAGTAACTCTTTATCCACATTA